CTTTATTTCCTGTTTTCACACCCTTGCATATCACGGATAAAAAGTTATGATATCTTCCCATCCTTCCCACACCCATCTCTTACTAAACTGTTGGTTTTTACTTGTGTTGTAATTTATTAATACTGATTCACAATTTCACGAATGGTCACCCGCTATTTTAGTCTGCTATCAGCAAACTCTGGCGAATTTTAAGCGATTGACACGCCACTTCCAAAAATTGTGTGTTCAGAGAAGCGCTTGTAGTTGGCTTGTACCACATCCATCCACATAGGCGCTGTCACCAGCCACGACTGAGCACTGGCGTTCAGGACTGTTTTGATTTTAGTTTCCTTGGGCACTTGGTCAAACCTTCTCGCCTACAGGTAACGGATGTGTAACCTACACATTTTCCATGTGAAGTGGTTTTCTGCTAGAGACACCACCAGAGACCAATTTAGATCCTATGTACGGGAAGCTGGCAACTATTCAGAGAGCTCCACAACCCATAATGACCAAACGGGTATCTGTGGCCGCGAAATACAAGATGATCACCTTCATTAGTTACTTCACGGGAACCTGTTCTACTGTTTCTACAGATGTATTTCAAAAACAATATTGAATGGCAGCAGCAGTACTTAGTGTTTGCAACAGTTTTCATCAATTTTATTTTCCATACCTCAGTGCCACACTTCCTTACGGACAAGTGCGATCCATTCTCTTAACTGTGCGGTCGGAGGCAAGGATTTTAAACACGATTGAGCTCTCATTTGCTGACGTCGAAGTCGGTATTTTCTCGCAGTTAATTTCCCGTCTTTGTACAGATTCATTTTCCCTGTATAACCAATCAGTCAACACGTACAAATTAATGGACTATCTGCGCACACACTGGTAAAGACTCTCGGCATGACAAAGTTTTGTTATGGTGTTGTGTGCCTCGCTCAGGATAAAAATGTGGCTTCTGACCCGCGGTGATTTTCGCTTGCACTAGACTCTTGTTGTTCCTCGATTATGTCAGTAGAAACTATCTTGTCCAAAGTCATCCCGTACGAACCAGCGTCCGAGAGATATTTAAAATTCGTTCTCATTACCAGGTGTTTCGCACTGCCCATGGCAAACTCACGAACACGAATTTTGCCCTCTCTCGCACCAAGACAATAACTTGGCCTGTTCTTCGGATGCCAAACCATCCTAGTTTGACGTAACAGCCGCCTAAGTTCTTAATTGAAACTCGTCCGCCACCTCTACTTAGGCTCTTTTTACACGCAGGTGTAGAGAGTGTCTAGAAGGTGGAGCATACTTTGTGAAAGTGAGAGGTCGTATAGCAAGCTACAATGCACTTTGTCCTGGCCGCGTTGACGACCTAAATTAGCTTCATCGCCGTAACCTTAGATACATATCGGGGCCACATTGGTTCATGGCGTACATTGGTTTGGGGTCACTGTGGGTCTATGCTAGCCATTACCTGTACCCAGTTATATCTCCAACAAGCGTTTGCAGGGATATACCAATGAAACATGAAAGGGGGCAAGATTGAGGTCGATTTGGCGCATTGAAGCTCACAACGCGTTCACATCTACAACTGAAAAGGAAACAAATATATCTGCACACTTGTCGTGGTATCTCTCTTCGCAGTATTAGCAGCAAAGTCTCTAATTTTCTCAGTCATTTAACTGTAAGCCAGAAACAAGTACTTGTCACAGGAATTAATAATTTTCTGGGAAAGTGCTACAGTCAACATGATATTTGCAGCAGGAAAAATTTCGGAAATTTACTTCCATGAATTTCACCAAGACCTTTGGCATCGCTCCTTAAGGACAACGAATCAACCTCGAACCATTAACCCTCTTCGGTCTCATGTTTCTACATTGCTGGTGGGTGCCTATACTGAAGATCTAATACGAATCAACATCAACCACCAAACTCCCGTGATCTAACATGGACTCATGCACATCGTTACGGGTCTCTATGTTGATTATAAATTATTTTGTCCTTGCTGACAGCTGCACACTGAATGAAACCATTGCAGCATGTATGCAGCAAGTTCTGGAACCACTCGGCCTCAAACGCACCATCTCTGGATTAACTATAAACGCGGCAATGAGAATGCCTGTCGTGCATCAATCGGCTCTAAGAGCGTTACATCTAATTGCAGACTATAGCTCGCAAATGTTAAGCATACTGCTACTTCTGTTCAGCTAAACAAAGCTCACTGAAATTCAGAACCTGTCTAAGCCTCTTTGACTCCCTTATTATCATATGCTTCAAAAGAAATCTCACGTTTTCAACTAAATGATAGCTTAGTCTATGGCTGTGTAATATGTGATTGTCGTTTGATGCTCATGTGGAGATTTTTCACCAACCTGGTTCGTCCGCTCAGTTGGGCCTTATCAAGCCTTCTTTCGGGAACTTTATTGCATGTAACAAATTACAACAAGTGCCTGCTTGTAGTCTTAATTTCGTTTTATTTTTTTTTCTTACCATCGTTGTTAATTTTATCGTTGTGCCGAAAACTTAATAACCCTTTTAAATATGTTGAAGGATCCGCTACTTTTTTTCAGGTTTCTTACTCGTAATGTCTGATGAAAGCAGTGACGAGTACTTTGCCAGTGCTGATGAGGGGTCAGTTAACGAAGAAGATGAAATTGGGCAGTCCCATGCAACACAGGTAGTTGTGTCTTTTTCAGTGATTTAACTGTTACATCGGGAGTTTTCTTTCCCTCTAACATTCTTTTTGGTTCCTTTCAGTGTGCGTTGAAGACTCCTCTACCAGGAAGCGAAGCTTGTGGAGGAAAATTGGAAGCAACCTCCAAAGCGCCTACTGTGTTGGATGAACATTCAAAATCAGGCTTTCCTTTACCGGTAGACGAGGCCTCCTGTGATTTGGCCACCTCCTCCGTGGCTCCTTTAGTAAAACTGCGGTCAACGCCGCCTCAAAAACTTACTGAATCAATTTCAGTTGAACCAAAGCATACCGAGCAGAAGTCATCTGTCGCGTCAGCTCCCGTTACTGACTTAATCTCTCGAGACAATGTCACAGAGACATTGCAACCGACAGCACCATCCACTAAATTGCACACTTCCGAAGGCCCAGTGGTCGAAGATCCGATTACTGGTGTTAAGGACGACAAATTGCCTCCTCATGAG